CTGAGCCTCTGTCATCCAACAAAAATGAGATGAGAAATATTAACCTCCTGACAGGCAGCAGACAAGTGCATCATCATTGACATTTTCCATCTACAAATAGCAGCTACTAACAAACAACTGATTGCTATAAGCTGAAAGTTTAGGGATATTAAATGAACCTTTCTTTTTGAAGCATTTCTTTTCAATTGCAAATCAAACAAGGAGATTTTTATTCTGGATGAGAAATATCAACCATTACTTCATAAAAATGCAATGACATAATTTTGATAAAAATAAGAAATAAAACATCTTCCATTCTCTCAGGAACTTTGGCAACGGTCTACCTCATCTCAGATCTCATGGAATCAGCCCCTTCCTCTACCACCTCTCATTTAACTAACCCCACTCTGATTAGGATAGCGAGTTATGGTAGTAGAAAAGTCTCTTTGCAGATCTATCTCCTGGCCCACTGAGATCTCTCTTCCTTCTGGAGCTTCCTTCAGCCCTATGGCCCACAGTTTTTCCAGGAAGTTTTGTTTAATGCTTCTATTGAATTCCATTCTATATGGCAAAGAGCAGCATTATGCATTTCTCTGTCATTCCTCACCACTGCAGCATAGCTGTGTTACATCAACAGTTCTGGAGCACTTCCTGGTACTGAAAATCAATCCTTAAGGGATGTAACATACCACTTTGTGGGGAATAACCTTCAGGAAGTTTAGAGTTTTGTATAGGCAATAACAATACAAACAGGAGAAGGGCAGTTCACCCATACACAAGAGACTTGACTCTGCGGTTTACTGAGATTGTCTGTAACTTTTCTAGATCTTCAGCTTGATGGTATTAATCAACACCAAGAAAGGGACTGCAAGATCATGCAGCTGCACTTTATCTTGACCTAGAGAGATCACCTCCAAGTAATAAAAGCAAGTTTAGTTCCTTTGCCCATGTAATTTCTGCCTTGCTGATAAGACTGTCAAAGCCCATGGCATTTATGGTTGCTACAGATGCTATTCTGAGATACAGTTGTCAGTAAATTGACTGATAACTGCCAATAAACAGCCAACAGGGGGTAACAATTTTTATCTATATTGCATTGCACTGCAGACTGGAAAAGCACTGCACATGGAGGAAATGTGAACTGGCTTTATCCGCACACAGACAATATGATAAATGAAATAAGCCAGTTAAAAACCAACCACTACTCAACAAATTACTTTGTTTCAGGTTAGACCAAACGTTGTGGTAAACTGTACTTCAAAACCACATAAAATAACTGGAAGAGTGGCAAGTGCCCACTACACTTTCAAATGAAATCCAGTAAAATTTTCATAATTATAAAGCTAGGTAATAATCCCTTAAAAAAGCCTTGAAGCTGCTAAACCTTAGGCCATCCATTATCAAATCAGCATTCGCCACTGCAGCAGAGGCAGCAGCCTATCAAGGCTACATGGTATGGAATTGTTGGAAGTGATGTATAGAAGGATGGTGTTGAGGTGTCTACCAGTGGTTCAGGTGAGAGCAGGCAGAACAGGGAACAGACGCTATGAAACATGTTATTGCTAGGAGCCATTTGGATATACTGGCTCTAGAGCTGTTGATTTCTTTCAGTCATTTTCAAAACTGTCAGGTTTCCAGCCATCTCCCATCCTCTGTGCTTTTCAGTGCATTAGTCTGAGTGTTGCTGTGGAAGTGACTCTCCAACTGGGGTAGAGTATGATGTAGAGGGGAAAGTGGCAAGAAATGCTGCTGGAACACTGGTCTAACATATTCATCTTAGGCCCACTGGAGAACATGTGATGGTAAAAATACACTGGAAATTCAGACAGCAACTTCTGGCTTACTTCTTGTCTAAACTCTGATAGGTAATATAGTAACTACTGATATGTGCTTTTTATTTGAGGTTCGAATGCAAGCACTAAGCACTGAAGCAGAATTCTTTAGAAGAAAAAAAAAAATTTCCCAAGAGAAGTCTTTACCATCTTAATTCTATAAAGCAATGTAAAAAAAAAAAAAAAAAGTTAATAATTTTCCTTTTAAGCAAATAAAAAACCCACTGGAAGACCTTGGTCCTTTTCTTTAACATTATCATGAAAATGAATGCACCAGTGAGAGTCAGCATATCATGCTAGAACTAGTCACTGTAATTCCATTCTACAGTCTCAAAATTGCTCTAAACTGAACATCACCAGATTCAAAAACTAGGCAGGAACTGGAACTGCATTCCACAGTGTGCTGTACAATCCTGGGCAAGGGGCCTTCTCAGTGTATCACGGCAATCCACACATGTTGGTTTTCCCATGAAAAACAAGATAAAGAGATGTGTGCCTTAATCTTCTCCCAGATTGAAGTAGAGATCTCTGCATGTTTTCTGTTTTATTCTCTTTCTTGCATATGGGTATGACCTTATTAGGTCCAATATTTCTTTATTACAGTTATTTATTATCTGTAGCCTTATAAACTCTGGGAGTACCAGCTAGGAGTTAGGATGTGTCCAGTATGTCCACTCAGGTTTGAAGACAGAAGTGCATCTTAGTCCTATGATACCATCAAAAATAGTTGACATTGTGCTGGGTTTGTGTGTGTGGCAGGAGTTTTGGTAGTGGGCAAGAAGGTTACAGCAGTGGCCTCCTATGAGAAGCTTCTTGAAGCTCCCCTGGCTCCAAGTCAGACCAGCCTTTGCACTGAAGCCGAGCCAATTGGCTGTGCCTCTGTGATATTTCAGAGGGGTAATCTGGGAGCAGGAGCTGGAGCTGTGAGGAGGAGTTGCGAGGAGAACATCTGTGCCAACACTGGAAGAAAGGAGGAGAAGGGGTGGGAGGTGCGCTGGAGCAGAAACCCTCTGTATCCGCTGGTGAGACAGCAGTGCTGCTCCTCCCTGCCACCCCTGGAGGTCCACAGCGGAGCAGATGCTGACCTGCAACCTGTGGAGGACTCCACACCAGAGCAGTTGGCTGCTCCTGAAGAAGCCTGGGACTCTGAGGGAAGAAGCCCCCGCTGTTGTAGTTTGGCACTGGAAGGACTGCAACACGTGGGGCTGACCCATGCCGGAGCAGCTAAGGAACAGCTGCATCCTGTGGACAGGACTCATGCCAGAGAAAGTTCATGGAGTCCTGTCTCCCATGAGAGAGACACTATGCCAGAGCAGAGCAGAATGTGAGGAATCCTCCCCTGAGGAGGACCACACCCCCCATTCCCTGCCCCTGCACTACTTGCGGGGCAGGAGGTCGAGAAATCAGGAGTAAAGCTGAGCCCAGGAGGAAGGGAGGGGTGAGGGAAGATGTTTTTTAAGATGTGTCTGTTAAATGTAGTCATTATTAGTGTTTGAAATAAAAATATTTTCTTTTTCTTCCCCGAAAAAGTCTGTCTTTTGCCCCGACCTTAATGGATGAGTGAGTCATCTCTCTATGTCCTTATCTCTACTCCTGACATTTCATTTTCTCCTACCCATTCTGGAGGGAGAAGGGGTGAGTGAGAGGCCGCATGGTGCTTAGTTTTCCTCTGAGCTCAAATCACAACAAATGTTTAAGCACATTTCTTTCTTCCTAATAAAGAAATTTCCACAAAATCTGATAAATAACATCTTAAAATGACTTACAGAATAAGATGAAATTTAGAAACATGTAACATTACTGCTTTGTTGATTTCTTCCATTCTTGTCACAGCATTTAGAAAGTTTAACATTGTATGCTATTGTTATTATTATCTATACTTCTGTAACACCTGAGAATTCTTAACATGAAACAGGAGCACTGTGCAGTGCACCACAGCCCACAAAATAATGTATATTGTTTATAAATATAAATATGGCACAACTGAAATTGTTACGTCGTTTCACCAAATACAGTAACTGTGTTCCTCTATACGTTTCCCATCAGGAATCTCCATGATCTCACACAAGTGCACATTTAGAAACAGGTAGCAAAACATTAATTAGATTTTCTATTTTTCAGTACATGCAGGGGTAAGACCTACAAAAGTTGAGTCCCTTTCAATCTCACTGAAAACAATGGGAATCAAAGTTTTTTAATACCTGAGAAGAATCATGACACTCACCCCATGTCATCTCATTTTAAAGTAGTGGTTTTACAGTAGGTTAAATCAGATTCTTTACTAAACTAAGTCAATCCCTGTTCCTGAAATGCTAAGGTGAGAATTTTATTACCATTAAGATGTACTACCACAGCAGGTGAACCCTTTAGGAGCATCTGCAATTCCAGTGGATCAGGCACTACACCAAAGTCATAATCCATAAGGACTATCTGTATGAACATACATATGCTATATATATATGTGTTATATGTACATATACATTTATATATATATAAAAGACTATTCAATTTATTTGGAACCCCTGAAAGACTAATTGTGATCACCCAAAGCACATTTTGGTACCTACAGTAGCATCATAAAAAAGGCAATGTACGTTTTTCGTATTTTCACTATTAATTCTTGCATAGTAAAGGCCTTTTAAAATTTTTCTTTGCATTCTATTTAATTTTCATGGCAAGCAGCCCAGTGTAGAGTTTATAGGAAAAAAAAAAAAAAAAAAAAAAAAAAAAAAAAAAAAAAAAAAAAAAAAAAAAAAGAGAAGATCATGTGTTCATTGATAAAACTGATACAGTTCCTACATGGGAAGAACAGTTGCGCTCCACTGAACAGAAGTAACCTATCAGGATTTTGCATTTTTGCATTATTTTGTTCTTTGAAATACTTATTTTACCTAAGAGATGTAAAAAGTATAGTAAGCAATGATGGAGACTCAACTCTGGAATGGCATATTTGTGCCACAAGTGCATATATCTTACTATGAAGAAGAGTCACAGTAAGAGTGCAGAAACTATAACAAATGCTAGGAACCAAAATTAAGTTTTTAATAAATCACATATATGACAAACCTGACTATAGCACTGTGTCTTTATAGTACAAAAGAGTAAACTCATATGAAGCAAGGTTAGAGAGAACAGCATGGACACAGGATATTCTGTACACTATTAAAAAATCAAAGTGGAATCACTTACCACTTCTTCATGGGTAGCACTTTCTACATTTATACCATTAACCTAAAAACAGATATGATAGGGAGAAAATGATTTGCAACATGTAAGTTAGTTAATGAAATAAACATACAAGCAAGTATGAAAAAAATGTCTGCAGAAAAAGTGAATGTTTACTGACCTGTATTATAGCATCTCCTATAAATAACATTCCTGTTTGGTCAGCTGTGGGATTACAGAAGGAGTACATTTTAATTGAAAGTAGTACTGAAAAATAATGCTATATTCTCTTCCAGCAACTGGTTTAGCATGTTGTTTGCAACCTTCATTTGAAACTGATTTGCTTGTGAAAATACCAATGGCATAGCAATCACTATTCATCCTATAAAAGTAATAGATTCCTAGCAATTTTAAACAAATTAAGAGTTACTTTCCATGCACAAAGAACTTACTTAATATGGAACACAAATGTCATTTCTCACTAATGAAGGATTTCAATAAATTATGTGGAAAGTGTGATGCACACTTCTCATTATTCTTCTACAAAAGGGAAATAGGAATTTCTGAAACTACTTAGCAATTCCTTTCCCCCTGAACAAATTTACAGGGACCGCTATAATTAAAGAGGTTGTGCCTAGAATTTAATACAACTCTTTAACATGAAGTTTGAGTTAGCTTTGTTCTTGAGAATAACAACATACGTTATTCCCGACTAATTTGCATGTTTCCTGCCTTACAGATTTAATGGGAATAATGTAACGGAACTGCAAACAAATCTGCACAGATACAATGACTTTTTGAGGTGTATTCTCTAATTTTTAAGTTTTTAATTTTTTTTTTGTTTATCTCTTGGAACATATTAATTGAAAGTAAGGCTCTGATCCTGTGAAGGCCCAATACACCTTTATTAAATAAGGCATATTAGTCTTATATATGATCTTATAGGGTCACAGCTTGAGTCTTTCAAGAATGCAATACTAACAAAGACAGTGTTTTGAATGATGAAGAGGTAAAAAAGAAAGAAAAAAATGCATAGAGTTTCCTCACCATTACTACAGTATAGTTTTGCCACTACAAATGGACCTTTGCTACAAAATAGGTTTTTTTTTCTATTAAATTTCACTTTCTAATAGATTTTTCATCACTCTCTTGGCAGATAAAAAACCAGTTTGTTAGTCTTACTTTTATCAGTACTTAGAAAGATTTCACTATTTTAAATACCACGCTACAAGCTCTGGTCTTCATAGCACTTTTTATCCTACTTTGTACTTAAAATATGTATACAATTTGTAATAGCTGGTATAGAAAAGAGACATGTATATGCAGAAACGCAACTGAATTAAAGCAGTTAAAAAACATGAAGCAATGTGAAATAGCCTATACTGGGTACCTACGTTGCTAGAGGTGCTGCACATTAGCTTGGGTATCTCAATACTAAACTTCTGTTCAAGATATTAGTAATACATATATCAATACTGAAAAACATGTCAATAATTTTTAATTCAATGCTTATGTTAGGGTCACTGGGCCTCTTCAGGAAAGTGGGAGCATGCTTCAGTTGGAGATAGAAGGAAGAAGTGTTTGAAATTCCAGTTCTGGGAAAGCATAAAAGGATAAATCAAAAGATGCATGCCCTGCCCACTGTGTGTGATTGACTCAGAACTGAGTGGAGAAATTTTGAGTATGTCTTATTAGCAAGTGATGAGACAGAACAGAGATAGATGAGGGAATTAAAGCAGTTGGTACTGAGGCTCCTTACACCCACACTCTATTGGTTTCAGGGATTTTAATTCAGATCAGTAAACTAATCTCCCAGTATGAATGCTTCCAGGTGATGTGAAGTTGTTCAAAGAAAGCTACTGCACAAAACTTTCTGCTCTCCTACGCAGCCCATCCTAAGGCACACCAGTGTCGTGCAGTGATGAACTCCTGCTGCCAGTAATAGCTGCAGCAAGCAACAATATGCAGAAGCAGACCTTGCTTATAAGTAATGCAATGGTCCCTGCAGCTTGAATCATGGCCTGGACATCAACTGAATGAGGTGTAACACAGGGAGAGTAAGTTCTCAGCCTGCTTCAGGAGGACACCCCTAATAAGCCAATCCTGAGACATTATTCTGTCTGTGTGGGGGTCACAGTAGGACTCACACTCCAACTCACTGAAGCAAGGCAGATGTGTTTGCTTATACTTCAGCAAGTACCAGTCAGTTGATCTGCAGGCCACAGCTGTGATGAGGGTGACACATGTGGGCAGCAGGCAGAGTTGTTTTCCTGAGGGCCTCTCTTGCTGGCTCTTCTGGGAGGCCAAAGCAGCTATTGCCATTGGGAAGATCAGTTGGAAACAGCAATATTGAAAAGTACAATAAAAGAAAGAATGGGGATGTGAGAGATAACTTTGGAAATAATTTCTGTAGAGGTGAAAGCAGAAAAGTGTAGGGCTGGTGAGAAAGGAAGGCATACTGAGCCAGAAAATGTCTGGGTGAAAGATGAGATCCTGATGGAAGAGCACATCATGAAGATTTGCAGGCAGGTAGATATCACCACCCTCCCAGATGTTCAGCTATCCATGACCCACACTGCATAATGACACAACAGCACATTGCATAATCTTGTCTACGTCTTTCATGAAAACAGGCTAGTTCTAACAACAGTTAAAATCTGTAGACTAGTATCCATGCAAAGTAGGAAAGGTAAAATTTCAGACACACGTAAAATTCTTGAGATTCCTCTTCAAGGCTTGAAGAGGAAAAGCATTAAGATGAAAAAGTGTAAAATCTTGATGAAGAAAACCAGGTAGCTGGAGGATGGTAACTCAGCAGCACTGAAGACAAATCCCTTCCAGGGAGTGATGCAGGCTGAACCTTTTCCACCTGACTGTCAGCAAACACTCACTGGTCATTCCACAGGGGTGATATGTTCTGCAATATCCCCAGCTACATACTGTCTGTGTTAGCCAATAAATGTTATAGTTTAAGAGCACAAAGCAATTATATCCTGTTTGCAGAGTCTCTACACACAATCAAAGCTGTCCAGAGAACTAAATGAGAGAAGGAGCGTTACGTGGTCGATACCAAATGCTCTATGAACTGAAAGAAAGCACACAAAATGGGGACAATCAGAGTATTTGCCCAAAAGTGCATTATGCTGCAACAGACCCAATAATGCAGACACCTCCATGGATGCTGGCATCACAACCAGGGACAGTACTCTGGAAAAATATACTTTCAAGTCTGTGATGAAACACTTTGGTTTTAGCCAGTTGTCTATAATTTGAAATCAATGATGATTTCTAACAAAAATATTTTCCACAAACTAAATTGTAGAGGACATGCCACTACAATGCAGAAGTTAAAATATAGTTTACAAGTATACTAGAAATAAAGTGGTTGAAAAACCTCCTTGAGAAGACTAAAAGGCAGTCTTGTTTCTCTAAGGCATACATTAAATCTGAAAATATCTACTGATGCTTTAATTAAGTCACATGTTCTTTACATCAAAAAAACATTAAGTAAAATATTCCATGATGTGTGGGACTTTTTCCTCCCACTGGTAACATCCTCATATACAAAGACTCTATGAAAGGCTGGTCTGCAATTATCAGTAACTATGCGTAAAATGAATCAGTACTAAAAGCAACGTGCAAAAGAGATTTGAAATACCAAGGAACATATATCCTTATTCAGAGAAACAGTAAATATAACTTTTTTAGAATCCAGTATGCCTCTTGAAGTTTTACTTGAAATAGTATTTTAGTAGAAGTGAATTGAACATGGCCAAAAAAAACCCAAAAACCAAACTTCAAAAAGAAACAAGCACAAAGTAGTAATAACCAAAAATGGACCAGGCTGTAAAAGAAAATGAAGTGTGTGCTACAACAATTAGTCCTACATGAACTTTACCTCTTAATTATCTTTAAAAGGGTTTAATATTGATTAAATGCTGTACATGGATTAAATTCACAAGTGATACAGAAAGAGAAGGAAAGCATAAGGGATAGGTGGTGGATAAGGGCAGAGCAACTGACATCAACTACCTGGACTTGTGCAAAGTATTTGACAGTGTCCCACACAACATCCTTGCCTAAACTGGAGAGACATAGATTTGACAGATGGACCTGGACATGATGGATAAGGAATTGGCTGGATGGTCACACTCAAAGAGTTCTGGTCAACAGCTCGATGTCCAAGTGGAGAGGAGTGACAAGTTGAGTTCCTCCACTCCTCAGGGGTAAGTACTGGGACCAGCGCTGTTTAACATCTTTGTTGGTAACATGGACAGTGGGACTGAGTGGACTCTCAGCAAGTTCACCAACACCAAGCTGTGTGGTGCAGTTGACATGCTGGAGGGAAGAGATGTGCCATCCAGAGGGACCTGGACAGGCTGGAGAGGTGGGTCTGTGCAAACCTCATGAAGTTCAACAAGGCGAAGTACAAGGTCCTGCACATGGGTCAGGGCAATCCCAAACACAAATACAGGCTGGGGATGAGTGGATTGAGAGCAGCTTTCCGGAGGACTTAAGAGCGCTGACTGACGAGAAGCTCAACACGAGCCAGCAATGTGTGCTCACAGGCAGAAAGTCAACTATATCCTGGACCACATTAAAAGTATCATGAGCAGGAGGTCGAGGATGTTGATTCTCCCCCTCTACTCTGCTCTCATGAGACTGCACATGGAGTAATGCAATCAGCTCTGGTGACCCCAACACAAGAAAGACATGGACCTGCTTGAGCCGGTCCAGAAGAGGGATACAAAGATGATCAAGGGCTGGAGCACTTCCCCTCCAGGGACAGGCTGAGAGAGTTGGGGTTGTTCAGCCTGGAGAAGAGAAAGCTCTGGGGAGACCTTATAGTGGCCTTCCAGTACTTAAAGGGGGCTACAAGAAAAAACAAGGAGGGACTTTTTACAAAGACATGTAGTGATAGGACAAGGGGTAACTGCTTTAAGCTGAAAGAGGGTAGATTTATATCTAAGGAAGAAATTCTTTGCTGTGAGGGAGGTGAGGCACTGGCACAGGTTGCCCAGAGAAGCTGTGGCTGCCCCCTCCCTGGCAGTGTTCAAGGCCAGGTTGGACGGGGCTTTGAGCAACCTGGGCTAGGGGAAGGTGTCCCTGCCCATGGCAGGGGGTTGGAACTAGATGATCTTTAAGGTTTGCAAACCAAACCATTCTATGATTCTGTGATTTTCACTGAGTTTTTGTTGAATTCCTGAATCACACAAGAATCATACCAGGTACTATGTCCTCTGACATTATTAGTGATGCATGAAAACAGTTCTACTTTCGCAATCTATGTTTTAAAGCACAGCTATATGAACTCAAATGCTGAAAACTATCTTGTTAGGGAAATTTTACAAACTGAACATAACTCTTTAGAGGCATTAAAAAAAACTCTTTAGAGGTGTTAGTTAAATTTCACTTCTTTGTTTATATAAAATCTTTCAAAATTTCTATTTTTGACCATGGGGTTTCCTTAGTTTAGTTTTCTTCTTCTTTATACATGTCCAGTTTATCATATAAAGAAAAGCTTTAGGTCATACAATGCATTTCATTAAATACCCCTGTCATTATTCTGATGTGCCAGGTTCCCCATGCTGAATTAAGTGGCAGATGGGGAACTGGGACTTCCCTTTCCACTTCTTCTCAGTGCCTATGGAACAAGCGGAAGGAGATCATTTTGTGTTCCTATAAGTACCATATCTACCCATCAAGAAGTCAATTCCAGATCTAAGTGTCCAGAAGCCTGAAGCATTGAAGCTCAACACATTGTACGAATCAATTCCATGTGAGAGATGCACAAGATGACAAAGGTGAGACAGGTACTGGACACAGGAATAAACAAAGACTGGATGTAGCAGGGAGCATGGGTTCGGCAAGATAATAATGCGCCTTATATGAATTAAGGAGTAGGATATTCAGCAGTGCTACAGAAATTGCCACTGATCCTCCTGAATACCCTGGTCATGAATGCCTTAATGGCATAACGAATCTCCTGCTGACTTACAGACCAGTGAATAAAACCACTACTCTGGGAATAGGTTAAGGAACTGTTGAAAAGCTGAAGACATCCTGCAGAACAGTATTTCAGCTGGCACTTTGCACAGCTGCATAGAATAGAGTGTTGTATCTGTAAAGTTAACACAAGACAAAACTGGTTTGGCCTGGCAAGTCAGAACTGTTTTCTCTTCAGCTTGGACTATATGAAGAAGAACATGAACCATAACAATACACAGGCACCATAAGCATCACCTAGAAAGACTCTTACCTTTCTTCCAAGCTTCTGAACAAGAACTGATCACTCTGGACATAGTTTTCCTTACAGTTTGGCATATGGCAGCACGTGCATGCAACAGACACAAAGAATTATCTAGGACAATGTGCATGCTAGTAACTGTAAATTTCTTCCAGTTTTGTTCCATTTGAAGAAATACTAATAAACATAATCTTTTTCTGTTCTATCCACTGCACCAGGTAGGGTCCTTTAGACAGCATACAGCTGTGTTTTTCTTATAACACTGGAATGGCTGGTAAAGTCATGAGCAGGGATCCTAGCTGAAAAATTGATGTGTTGAAGAGGTACAAACAGAGACCGAATGGGTATATTGGTCAAAAGACAACTACTTTTGCCACTGCTATTAGAAGCTCTAATATGGGAAAAATTGGGAAAACACAAATTATAGCAAAAGATGTTATTCCTGTGTTCAAAAGTAAAAATTATTATCTTGTTCCATATAAAAATTGTGTAGTTATTAGGATAGAAAAATCCAAGGAAGCATTAAAAAAACAAAATTCTTTAAAGAAATGAACACAATTAATTAAATATTATTTCTTGCTGCTCTGTGGTGACAATAAAGCAGAGACCAAAAATCCAGACTTCGTATTTTAATTACGAATTGCCTAATTTTGTTTTTGGCTTCCTTTCTCTTCCCCACTGGTACATACTTCAAAATAGTTTTATAGCTCTTATTTATTTATTTTCTACCCCAAGATTATTGCAGTACTACAGACAGATGTAGAGGACAAACATATGAATCTGTAAAATCAGGAGACCTTACCTGACATAATATTGCCAAGAGGAAAAAAACATATCTAAACACTGTAAATTCTGATCTTACACTAGTATAAAATCAATCTGGATATTAAACCTTTTACTGTATCATGATATGTAGTTGCATCAGATTCCAAAGAAC